GGCCAAAAGTGGTCAAAAAGGACCAAGTAGGAAGTCGAGTAGGAGCCCAAAAAGGAGCAACTTTTGAAACGGAGGGTCTGTGATTTTCAAACCAGGAAGACAAGTAGGAGAGCTTTCCTACCTCGGCAAGTCTCTGAATTCAGACTCGGCTACTTCCCGCCACGTCATCTTGTGCCACAGCTCATGTCGACTCGGGGCGCCAATCGAAGCGTGTCCAAATACTCGGCCATTTGGAGCATCAGCATCGGGAACTTCAGAGCGCTCGCTTTCAGCAGCAAATTACGGAACTTATGGATGATCTACCATCTGACTCGCGAGTCGGACTCAAGGCAGAAGGTTGTTGACTAGAAAAATAAAAGAGATGATGGTAAAGAGCAGATTACAGTGTATGTAGAGTGATGGTAGTGGTGTGTGAAGATGGAAAGAATTTCAAGCCGCGAAGCCGCGATCAAAATTAGGCCGAGTCGGCACTTGACTCGGAAGACAAGAAGGAACTCGAGTAGAGAACTTTTTGCAAACAGGAGCACATGTTACGAGGTACGAGCTTGGTTCGTATAGAGTGTCTGTCTACGAGAGACTAAGCACATGTGGCTCCTGTTTGCAAAAAGTTCCCTACTCAATTCTCCTGGTTGCTTTCCTGGAAGCAAATAGGAAACCAACCAGGAAACCAACCAGGAAACCAACCAGGACTCCAGGCAATATCCACTTAACGTGAATATCTTTCCCGAAGAGAACGAGACAGTTCCGGGTTCTGCTTGACCTCCAACTGCGCAATCAGGGCCCACGTCAACGCCCCATCATCCACCGCCCACTTGATCGTCGGAAGAGTGGGCTCTGTCTGCTTGGCAGCCTTCTTCTTACCGGGTTTCTTGTGCTTCTGGGGAGATCGGCACGGCTGTCAACTGCTCATAGATGGGAGGTAGATGGAGTAAGGTGTTCTTGCATCACCGCACGTCGCATTCCAGTGGGACCTTAGTGGGACTCAAAAAATTTAGGCGGTCTGGTTACAGCAATCACCTGCAATAACACAATCGTGTCACACAGTGTCTTTTCCAACCCTGGATCGCTCTTGACACAGCTGCAGTGCTGCCACGTTCTCAAACCTAGCTATCAAGTGTGTTGGGCGCAACTCCTCAAAATTTACACGGTCTCAAGAGAGAGATATTGTGAGAACAGCATGGGAAAATGCTAGGCTTTGAGTAATAACACAGACCGTCTGCTGGGCGCAATCGAAACGGTGGAGCGCCCAGAAATTGTGGTCTCGAGAACAAGTGAGGACAGGGACCCAATTCAAACAGCCAAGTTGGACGATACTATCCTCCAAAGAGTTCCTCTGGCAAGCATGCATCCTGAGCAGATGAGCGCCGCTTGCAAGAGACAACTAATGGCATCACTCTTGGTTCCTAAACACACACCCTCTCAATCCTCTCCCAAATCTTTCCATTCTAAAGCGTTACGGAAACTTTGATTCAGAAAAACCTCCCTCGGCCTGTTGCAGAGCGCAGATCGAAGTCCTATTTTAATAATTTAAACAAGACCGTGGAAAGCGGCAAACGGATCGTCTTTCTCCGCCCTTTCAGGAATCTCAAACCCGCCGCGTATGTGGCGTGCAACCTTCGCGCCTGCGAGATGTTCTACAAAGGCAAGAGCCATGTCGGAACCTGAAGCAACTTCAGTCAACCGACGCTTTATTAGAATTCAAATATTGGAGCCTCACCTGCAGCGACGCCTGAGCTTGTCCACACTTTTCCGCCCTCGGCTACGACCCATCGCGCTTCAGGGACCCATTCAATTTCTTTGGACGTCGCAGCCTTGAAACAGAGGTGGAGTTAGTTTTGGATATTTCGGGTGTTGGATTTAAACATACGACGATGATGCGGTAGCCCAACTTGTTCGTTGTGGCGCGTTTTCCATTTAGGACACCGGCGAGCGCAAGCTGGTATGCGCCACCGCACACGGACATCACGTACTTGGCCTTAGGCGTTTGCTGCGCAATGAAGGTAATCTCATCCTCCGGAATAAGGCTCTTTCCCGTTTCCAAGTCTAGGCTGGGCCCTGTCGATATTTTTGTTAACACTCTGGATAGTCTGATGACAGAAGTGGAATAAACACCTGCGGGGACCCAGAGAATGTCGAACTGCTTCCCATCTGCCATAGCGGCGGCATACGTCAAGGTGGGGTTGACGGTTGGCGGATTGCGGCCTTTGAGAGCCACCACAGGATCCATGGTGGGGGCGAGGTAGTCGATTTTAACTCCGTACGGAATGTCGGCCATGACGGCGCTGGACCAGGAGGCCTCGTCTCCGGGATCGAGCTCAGAAAGAATTTCCATTGGCGTCACGAAATCGGAGAGAGTCACCCCATGCGAGATGCAGACTGCGACACTGAGGATCTCTGGCATATTCAGGAGAGTTTGAGATGTTGGCGAGCGCGGGCAGTGCGGCTTAAGTATCGTTTTTAGGACGGTCCCGATACGTTCCGCCAACTTGCTCGGTTAACGTAGTCTAGGATCTGATGAGGGGTCGGTAGGGAGGTCGACAAGATCAGATGGGAATCATGATCCAGAGCTGATCCGATGAATGGCAGCGTTTCCGCTTTGGGATCTCGTTCGTCCATTATAGCTTATTTTGTTTGACTCATAGAGTATATTGTGATTTGAGGGATATATGGCTCAGGAGAGCATGAGCAAAAGGCGACGCGCTCGCGCTGGCCGAAAAGAGAAGTGCCGATAAGCGGCGGCATCGCATCCATCACATTTGCCATCTGATCTTGTCGACCCTCCTACCTACCCCCCATCAACGCCCAGACTTTCTTTCCCCTCTTGAGAACGACTGTCTTCTCAACGGCCGAAATAAAGTCTGAGTAACGAGACTACGGTTAACGTACTACGACTGCGGACCACTGCGGAGGTATTACTAGTACTCACGGCGGCTATGAAGGACCGCAGATGGTGTAAGCCTTCATCAGGAAAACCGGACGTAACTATGGCCACTATGCAGTGCTGTCAAGTGCTGTCAAGCGCTATCAAGCGCTGCATAGCACCCATAGTTACATTCAGTTTTCCTGATGTTCCCATGTCGCTGAATATCGGGTGGCTCACTTGTTGACCGATTTGGCTCAAGTGAATTGAAATTTGGGGTTAGATATATCCTACTACTACACCGTCTGCTACGACCCACGGTGCCTCAGAAACCCGCTCGATATATTTGGACGTCGCAGTGTTTAACAGAGTCTTGGCATTTCGGGTGTTGAGGTTATGTAAGTTGTACCTGTTGTCGCTTAGTGGTTTGTTCAAAATTCAAATAATACCCAAATGATATACTCAGCTCGGGTATGGTGCGCGGCCCACAGCAGCGGTCCTTGCGAAATTCGGGCTGAAGGTTGCATAGGGCTGTGAGACGGGTTCGACTTCCTGCGCCCGGATAACATGATGGCGATGTGATAATTTTTGTTACCTCACTCACACTCAGTTGGCAGAGAATTTATCCGACAACTTGGATGTATTGCGGGGTGCACAGTAGCGGCGCTTGGGCTTCCAGAACGAGGTCCAGCTAGACCCCCCTGTGCCCGAACTGGTGACGAGGGAATAGCATTTCCCCCTTCACCGCCTGCTCAAGTGAAGTACTGGGCTTATTCAGAGTTTAAATGATATATACTCACCTCGGGTGTGGTGCGCGGCGAACAGCTTCTTTTGATATACCTGTTGGAAAAAATGGCCAGCTGCAGGTCAGGGTTCACCGCGCCCGAACTGACGGCGAGAAACAACGTTAACTTTCTTTCCCCAGCTCACCACCTGCTCAAGAAAAGGAGCTCATTGACAGTCTAAATGATAAACTCATCTCGGGTGTGGTGCACGGCACGGCAGCATTTTAAGAAAATGCTTGGTGAAACATTCAGCTGCAGGTTGGGTTGGCCTCCCCGCGCCCGAACTACGTAGGGAAATGTTGTTTCATAACCCTCATTCAGCAAGCAACTCCCCTCAACTCGGGTGTGGTGCGCGGCGCACGGCAGCTTCTGATGGGCTGGCGATCTCAGAATGTCTACCAGCTGTAGGTCGGGGTTCAACTCCCCGCGCCCGAAGCGGTCAATCGCGCAAAAGTGAATTTTTTTCTTGCTTCGTTCTACAAGTAGTTCTTGAGAGTCCAGATGATATACTCAAATCGGGTGTGGTGCGCGGTGCACGGCAGTTCTTGATGCCACAAGGCTTGCGAATACAATTGGTCAGCTGCAGGTCGGGGTTCGACTCCCTGCGCCCGAATTTGTTGGGGTGTCTAGACATTTTTTAGGCTTGTCAGCCCCTGCTTTAGCCCAGTAAGTAGTTTATTTGGAATCCGAGCCTGGCACTCAACTCGCGTGTGGTGTGCGGCGCACAGCAGTACTTTCTAAAAGAAGTATGATCGAAGATTCAACCGCAAGAAGGGGTTCGACTCCTCGCACCCGAGCTGCGTGCTGCGTGAACAACCTTTTTTTTTTAGCTCCACCTGCCCAATCAAGGTGGTTTGTTGAGAGTCAGAACCGGATCCTTCACTCGGGTGTAGTGTGCGGTGCACGGCAGTTCTTGATGAAGTGTGAGGACCCACGAACAGTCCGCTTTACTGCTTGCTCGAGCAAAGTAGTTTATTCGGAGTCGGAGCTGGACACTTCGCTCGGGTGTGGTGCGCGGCGCACGGCAGTTTCTTGATGGGTTGGCAATCCAGTACCCAGCTGCAAGACGGGTTTCGACTCCCCGCACCCGAATAGGTCGCGCAAGAGTGAATTTTTTTTCTTCCTTTGTTCTACAAATAAGCAGCTTATCGAGAGTCCAGATGATATACTCAACTCGGGTGTGGTGCGCGGTGCGCGGCAGCGGTTCTTTCACCGCGTGCTTCAGATATACACAGCGAGGCGGGGTTCGACTCCCCGCGCCCGAACTGGCCTCTCAATGGATGAAAGTTTTGTTTCATAAACCTCATTCAGGCACAAGGAACTCACCTATCCGACGTCTGAAATATCCCCTCAACTCGGGTGTGGTGTATGGTGCACGCGGTTCTTGATTAGATGCGTAACTGTTATCCAATAGTCAGCTGCAGGTCGGGGTTCGACTCCCCGCGCCCGAATCAATGTCGATGTCGTCTTTTCTTCTGTTTTTGTTTGGCAAATTGTTGCGCCGGTCGAGCAAGTGTGGGTTGAGGGCGTTGAGTTGTGATCTGCAGCAAGGACTGGGATATCCGAGGGTACGTTCAGACCGGGGAAGCTCGGGTGGTTTCAATAATTCCGTTCGGGGAAGCGGGTGGATAAAAATCAACTTGAAGGCGGTAGCTCCGAGATTGTCCGAGGTTGGTGAAGGTTGGCCCGGTAGCGTGCGGTCTTGCCGGTGGGGCACGTCGATACAGCATCAATCCTGTAAGGTAGATAGCAGTTAAGCCAGGTCGCAACTTTGCAACAGCCAGAGATATCATCGCTGTACCGTGGCACCCGTCCAATGGAACGAGCCTCGTAAAAATAGGCCTTGGCAATGAGAAGTCTCAAGAGAGCCCAGAGCGAAACCCAAGTAAACCCTGAGAAAGCCATGGGTGAAAGTCCGATATACGCCGACTCCGATTTGTCCGAACAAAATTTGCCTCCGCTAAAACCCAGGCGGCTACATAATACGCGGCTTGCTGTCTTGCTGTTGAGCTTGAGCGTATCGCCAGTCGCACATATCCCTCAGTGCACCCTATAAAGGCCGTGGTGGAAGCGGACAACGAACTGAGGATCTGATTGGCACGAGTTGCGGGCCAATCGATGCTGCTGGCCTCGTTGCGACGTTCGGGTTCTTTTCTGCGACAACCATCTCCCCTTTCCCTTTCCCTCTCCCTCAAAACGATGCGCCCCCCTCACCCTCGACTCGCTCAACCGGCAGCTGCAGACGGTGCAGTACGCTGTCCGCGGCGAGCTCGCCATCAAGGCCGAGACGTACCGCGACCAGCTGAAAAGCGGCGGGCATAACCTCCCGTTCGACAAGGTCATCTCCGTCAAATATCGGGAACCCGCAGCAGAAGGGGCTCGACCAGCCGCCAATTACTTTTACGCGCCAGGTGGGTAGCCCATCTTTGACATCGTATAACAACTTATTGGAATTTACGTGCCACCTTTCAGGTCGCCGCCCTAACGGAATGGCCTGCGCTCGCTGAGCTCGCCCCGGGCGTGTTCCCTGCCGACGTCATCGCCCGCGCGAAGGAGCTGCAGGACGAGATCGGCACCATCGGCGCGTACTCGCATAGCCAGGGCGTGCCGTTTATTAGGAAGAGCGTCGCGCGGTTTATTGAGGGTGAGTTTCGTTTCGTGCGATGGTATCTTCTTTTGTCTTTCGTTTTATTCGGGAGAGGGAGGTGATTTCCTTTCATGGGAGAGGCGCGCGCGCGGGTGGATTCGGGGACGCGGGGTAACTCCGATGGGCGGAGATACGCGTGGCGCGCCAACGCCTCATGCTGCTCTGCATACAATCTGGTGTCTTTTTTCGGTCGTCGCGCATCGGACATCGTAATGGAAACGCGCCGCGTCGTGTTTCCAGCAGCGGATGCACACATCATGATTGCATCTTCACATCGGACATGTGTCCAGGCCGGGGACGCGACGCCTGCCTGGCCCCACGATCTTCATCGGGTACACCGTGGCGGAATCGCGGCACTGAGTGGGATGCACCCAACGTCGTCGTTTTGCATCCTGCGTTGCGTCGAATTGAATCTACGCGCATACACGGATGGGATCGCGATGGCTTCTTCTTTTCCGCGTGTTCTCTACGATGTGGGACGCAGGATCGGGGCGGGAGATCGAGGGAGCGTACTGCTGTCTTCCGTCTGTGTTTACCTCGGTCCTTCCTCCCTTCTGCTGCGTACCATCTCGCGTCTTCGGCGTACGCTTCATCTGCGCCCTCCTCTTCTCTTACTCCTCCCACTGTTTTTCATTTATTTCTCATCTACGTCGACGCATTTTTTTCATCGTCCCCACCCTTCCTTCCCTTGCTCACGTTCTCCCCCACAGCCCGAGACGCCCACCCCGCCTCCCCGGACGACATCTTCCTCACCGCCGGCCGCCTCCGCAGGCGTCTCGCTCCTCATCAACATGCTCATCACCGCCCCGACGGACGGGGTGCTCATCCCGATTCCGCAGTATCCGGTGCGTTTGGACGTTTTTTTTTTCGATTTTCCTCAAATTCCTACTTTCGATTTTATTCCTCTTTTATTCTCCCCAGTTCTTCTGCTTCTCTTATTCTCTCCGTTTTCTCGTCTCGTCTCGGTCTCGTCTCGAAATTGTGTAAAGCCGAAGGAGGAGCTTTCATATCTTTTCGGGGTATTTTCTTTTGGAGCGTCTTTTCGAGAGCTTCTCTCCTGCTTCCATTGCCTATGAGAGGAGAGGGGAGTGCACGAGTGTGGAGAGGGGAGGACCTCCTTCGTCCTGTGGAGGGAGATTTTTCTCTTCTTTGGCGAGACTTGTTGGGGCAGGAGCGGGAGCGGGAGCGGAGGGTGAGGAGTGCGGGGAGAGGGGAGGGTGAGGCGCATGGTCGCCGGCGACATTGGGCGGGGGGAGTTCCCTGTAGGGAGCCGCTACGACACCTTGGGCGGAGGGTGGGGCGGAGATGCGCGCTGTGATACTCCCAGTGCCTCTTGGCTCTTGCTCCCTCATTCCTGCCTCTTGCGTCTTGCATCCTATTTCCTGACAGTCTTTTTCGTTTTCCTTTCGCTCTTCCCCGTCGTAGCGACAGGCGTCGGCGGACTGGTGGAGTGCATCAGAATCGCCGAACAGGAGAGGAGGAAGGAGGGACATCCCACCAGCTTTCTGCGTCCTGATGCGGCTTTCTTTTGTTTCGTTTCCGTTCGTTTCGCTGGCTCCCTGAGGATAAGATAGAGTGTTCCCTGGCTCTGCGATCGTGGCATGCACATAATCAACACATTACAGCGCAGCGCATCATCATATCATCTTGTCGACATATCTTTCTGCATTCTCTGCACTGTTACTTACGATACCGACTGACCCATGTCCATAGTTTTCTTTTTTGCTCGTTGCATACTCACCTTTTCTTGCATACCTCACTCGTCTGTCTTATTTCTGTTCTTGTTCTCGTGTTCCGGTGTATTTAGTCCGTGTCTAGTTAGTTCGTTAGAGGTAGTTGTCCCGGTCTGCGTCTTGATTTCTTTTCCTCTTGTGAGGTGTAATATGAAGACGTATTGGCAATGTATAGACTTATAGAATTGGAGATGGATCATCTTGAGGCAGGCTAGGAATGGGGGTGGCGTGCCTGAAGACAAACTTGTATAGATTACGCGGTCATTACTTTAAATTATGTACTTCGATTTCTACAAAGTGCGTGGGTGCCGGAAGTGTTCAACAGTTCATTTCCTCGCTCGAAGCCCAGTTTAGTACGCGACACGCTGCGTCAAAGTAATCTCCCTGCCAATCGGATTGAAGGTCGCGACGACATTGCGCAGGAAGGTGTCTCCTCTACAAAGTCGTTTTGAACATCAGCCAAAAACGTAGAACGAGGGATAGAAAAAACGCACAGCAGGTGGAAGTCCGAGCCAATATCCGGCCCGCCCTGCGCCTGCGTCCCGAGAACGCAAGTCACATCCCCCTGCGTGTCATTGACAAACGGCACAAGCTGGTCCCGCGGATCCATGCTGAATGCCTGGCCACCGATTGTGACGCTGAATTGAGGGACCGTTGCGTTGCACTGCGCGGCATAGAAGGTCAAGCCGGAAACCGTGACGAGCTCTGCGGGCGGGTCGAACGCGGCCGCGTACCCCGCGGCGACTGGCGCGGGGACGAGGTTGACCCCGGTGCCGGTGTCGAGGATGGTGGTACCGTTTCCGAGGGAGGCGTTGCGCGCCTCGGGGACGTTTTCGCTGCCAGGGAAGTTGTACGAGTCGATGGGGAGGGTGTACCAAAAGAACTGCCGTTTGGACTCGGCGATGGTGGGAGGGTAGGCTAGAACAGGGACGGTGACCGATGTGTTGTGGATCACTGGAACGGGGGCGATGCCGCCGAAGGCGAGCAATCCGAGATTGGGGTATAAAGGTCGGTCTCTGCTTGCTCAGTGGTGGGGCGATCCAATGCAATGGAAAAGTCTGCGCGTGTGATTAACAAATGCAAGGTCTGGGGGAATGTAGAGACGTACAAGGATGTTCAACTTTCTTCTGCTTGACCGCGGTAAAGAAGAAGGGATCGTACAGAATACGGTTTTTCGTAGACGCCGTAGTTGGGTCGGAGGTGTTGAAAAGACTGGTCACGTTTGGGAAGGCGAGACCCTGCGACCGCGAAATGAGACAAGAATTGTTGCGTTACTCGGTCGACCGACGCACGAGAACACCCGATAGAACGCCGTCTCCCGTCCACGCTGCAACATTTGGTATCGGTACCACCTGTCGCGACACCTCCAATCCACCGATGGACACGGTCTCCAAGGCGATTGGTCCCGCAACGTACTCGGATGTTCCATACGTTTGATTAAAGCTGACATTTTGATACAACTCGAAAGTTTTGGATGAATTCGGATTGAAGCCAGTTGAGCCGAAATTGCACGTCGTCTGCGGTACCGGACTGCCGGTAAGGTTGAAGCACGAAAACCCCGCCTGCGGCACCCAGGTGTCCGAGCTACATGAATGAAAAAAACGATTAATGACTTCCAGGAATTCCATTTACATCTACTCACCTTCCGCTGTCGATGACGAGGCTGAAATTTTGCCCACCGATGGTGACGTTTACAAGGTAGTCGGTGTCCATGTTACTGCCCGCTAGAGGAACCGTTGTATACGGATGACGCGACACAATGCCACCGCAGAGAGCAGAGAGCGCGTCGACTTTCGCTTTGCGGCGCGGCACCTTCTTGGAGAACGCCACGGAATAGGAGGCGGCTGGGAGGACGCTTCGAGAAGACAGTGCGGGATGGTGTGCTTCCGGCTGCGGCGCTGGGCTTGCGAGATGCCCAGGAACGGCGCACAAAAGAGTCAAGGCAAGTGAGGAAAGAGACAGTACATTCATGGTTTGTTGGGTGTTCAGTGAAGCGGATGGGGTATTTATGCCCACCGAACGTAAACGTCACGCATGGCTCGCATAGCAAACTCAGCTGCACTGCAGTGGA